ATATTACTATCCTACATATTTCAAAAACAAATTACCAATCTGAAACCTCCAAAGTCAGATGGAAAGGTAACACCGATGTGTCCAGAACTGGCATGTTGAAAAGACATACATATGACATGTTTTCATATGTACTTCTAGAACATTATACCTACCTCTAAATTCCAAAAAAAAAACCCACCTCAAACTCTTAGGAGTTGCCATAATTTATCTCCCTGGGTATTTCTTAATTTTCCTTTAATACTATAAATAAGGCATAATATAGGAAATGACTAGTAAAAGTCATATTTTTTTCCCCACAAACTTGAGGATTCAGGGTTCCCTTTCACTCCCATCCCTCTACTGTTTTCGTGGATTCAGTGAATCAACAAATATTGATTGAATACCCACTACAGGACAGGCCCTGAGAACATAGAGATGAACAATACAGAAGAGTACCTCCTTTTAACAACATTCATAGATCTCTGCAAATGAACACAAGTTCAAAAAATCAAAAAAGAAGATACTATGCAGTTTGCAGTTTACCTTGATTTCATCAAGGTTATTTGGATTTTTCACTCGTCGGAAATAACTAGAGTTGATTCTACATGGCTTCATCCACACAGGTTGATTTAAGTTGGGATCCTCAGCAAATATTTCCTCAAAAATCTCTTTTGTTAAATCAAAAACAGCCTTGACAGAGGAAAACAAAACAAAACAAAATGGTTAAGAATCTAAATTTCAGACAATGAGAGAAAAGTTTAAAAATTAAAATTATCCTTCCATGTTACATACCTGTTTGTAGACCCTTTTGCTAGTGCTTTCTAGATCGAGACCCTCATTGGCACAGCCAAGCAGTTTTGTGGCAACACCGACGCCATGAATATCATGGCCTAATTCTTTCCAATTCCAAAGTTCTTCTGCTGCGTTATGTACAAGAATCGCTACGTCCTCCGCAGTATGTGGCACTGCCAATAACGTTTCACAAGGCTGTGGGGGTTCTCTTTTAGGTTCAGCCATTAGAGGTACAATTGTTTCTTCTGCCTTATTTTTTTGGATCTTGTGAGAAGAGCTCAAACCAAAGTCTTCATCAAACCAGTCTTGATCATCTCCCAATGCGCTTAGGAACTCCCGGCTGAGCTCAAGTTCAGCAAGTCTCTTAGCAAGCTCTTCTTGCCCACTGGCACCAAATACCGGGCTCTCCTATAGAAATGGAACCGTTCCAATAGAGAACCATTCAGATCTCAGATCGCTTAACATGTTTTTCTTTTAAACACAAAGTAAATGTATTATTTATATATTTAATATTTCTCTATAAATAAGCAAAATAAAGCAATATGGTGGCTACTAATGAACAATTTAAGAAAAAAAATTATCCTGTTCCCACAATTCTGCTTATATAAGCCTTATAACTGAATTTTTATAAAGTGTTTACTAATTAGGGTTTGTGTTTTTTTTTTTTTTTTTTTTGCTTTTTGTATTATCATTATTCTGTTTCTAAAGGACTGTCTTTGGGATATGGAAATGGGATATGAAATTTCTCACATTTGGTGATTATCTGGCTCAAGTTACTCAAAATCATTACTTTTTGCTCAGTTGTCCATGGGCCACCTAAACAAGTTGAAGGTCTAAGTATATGTCATAATGGATACATTTCAGTTTTACCAGAATCAGCATCACAACTGGTAATCTCTGCAGGGCAACCAAGACTAAGTACATATGTGAACAAACAATTTCATAGGCAAGAAAAAACTGGGTGTGAACCTCTGGAAAGCTCCTTGGAATAAACGTATCCAGTGTATCTGGAAGGGAGTCTAATCTGTGGACAGCAGGCAAGGGTTGTCAACCAGCAGTTTAAATGGATGCTTCAGTTCTCATAAACCTGCCAGTGTTTGCGACAGCTCTATAGTGACTACTCGTGACATAACAGAGGACAATTACACTTCAGAGAGAAAAACAGCTACAAGGCCTTTAAAAGCTAGTAGATGATCTTTATCTAATAAATAACATGTTACGAAAAAAACAAAAAAAACAAACCTATCAGGAGCCACAGAATGAAAATGTACTACACAGGCAAGGTAAATTGACACTTTTTCTATACAAACTTACAGGTCTGGGACACATATCCGGAGAGGAAATCTCTTCTTTTTCATCTTCCAATTCAGACCTTAAGAAGCAACTTTGAACACTTGGTGATTGTTCCTCGAGATTCTGGGGTGGTACTTTCTTTTGGTCATCGTCAAGAAGCTCCTGATTGCTAAGCTGGATTTTCTCATTCCGAGCTTTTCTTATTTGTTGTAGCTGATGGACTGTGTCCTTCACAAAGACTTTCAGTAAACTGTCTGTCAGTGAGCTGACTGTTTCCAGCTGTTGCTTTGACTTTTTTTCCTCATTAAGTGATGACCTCTGCTGGGCTTCCAATTGTGTTTTTTCTCTTGATAAAAGGTCCAGAAGTGGGGTAGAAAGCTTCTCTGAAACTTCAGAATATAGGTTCTTTTCCTTTTTTGTAAATTGCTGTTGCTTCTTCAATTCTTCGGAAAAGGTACTGTCTAACGTATCATCTTCTGCAGCAATGGAAACTTTTTCTGTGGCATCAGAAACAAAGTCTTTGTTTTCCTTTGAAGAAATCAGTGAATTCGCTGAAGATTGCTGGTGAACATGGGCTTCAAGTACCCCAGAAATGTCCTGTATATTGTCTTTTTCTATTTTAAGGCTTCTATCTCTATCAGCTAAGGCTTCTATATTGTGCATACTAGGTGGAGATTTTTCATAAAAATATTCAATTGCATCTTTTTCTCTATCTTTTGGACCCTCTGTATCTTTTTGCTCTTGATTATAGTATTGATATTGTTCATCTGAATAGCAATCTTCATCTTCATTTATGTCTACATAGTCATCAAAGTTTTCTGGAATGTGAGATATTTTTTGAGGAGGAGCAAAAATGCCATGCTTTTCTTTGCACTCAAAATATACAATGCCATCGTATGTTCCACTGTTATTTCCTTCAGGTTTGTCCAACTCTACTCCAGCCCAAAATCCTTTAGCAAAACTAGTCTCTCCTTTGAATCGAAGAGTTCCTGGCTGAACATTGCCAATCAACACCCTATCACCAATGTGGAAATCGAGTAACTCATCGGCAGCACGAACTGCTGGCGAGGAAGGGGACTCGGTGACTCCCTGCTCGTGCTCCACGTCACTGCGCTCCTTGCTTCTCATGAGCTCTGTAGGGGACTTGAGTTCTAACAGCCTTTCAGAGTGGACATTGCTATGGATGGAAAGGCTTTTCTCGCTCAGGCACTCACTGATGTCATCGTCACTGCCCAAGCTAGTGGCTCTACTTCTAAAGCTCTCCGTTGGCTGTGACTTATCTCTGCAAGACTGAGAGTCTTTCCTGAGTGACAACAAAGATGACACCTCAAAATCACCTTTGTCCAGTTCAGCTGAAATCTCTTTCTTGAATGAAGACACTTCAAAATCTTCAGAGTATGACTCTTTAGAAGCAAAAAGATGTTTTGACCAAGACAAGTCCCCTTCCTTTTTGTTCTTTTGCTCATCAATGTCTTTTCCTGATTGGATGTTTGGACTATGATCCATATCTTGATCTGACAGTCTCTCTTTCAACATTTCCTCTTTTTTATGACAGTTTTCAATGGTTACTCTAACTAAGTCTTTCTGAACATTTACAGACTCTAAGGGAAGATCTTTCTTTGAAAGAATTTCGGATGAATCTCCCTGTTCCAGGTCTAGTTTCAGTAAGACATCAGATTTCCTCTGTTTAGAACAAACATCTTCAATCTCACTCTCCTCTAATTTTGCATTTTCTACTTCTTGTATTTCTGATTTTTCAATAGATTCTTCAACCTTGGCTTCAGAAACCTCAAGAATTCTATTAGAGACATTTAATTCTCTGAGAAGAGGTAATGGAAGTACATTTTCTAGAGAATCTCCAGCTTCTGCCCTGGTTTTCCTTGATGCTCTGACAATTGGAGATGGGATCTGAAAATCTTCGGTTTGACTATCCCATTCAATCACTTTCTTTGCATACGCAGGTAAAGATCTTTCTGATACTGATTTCTCAGAACCTGACAATGAAGCATCTTAAAGAAAGAAAAAATCACCACGTCAAAATTATTTAATCACAATCTTTCAGTTTTGAGGACCCAAGTTTAAATAAAAGCCAAATTTAGTGAAGAAAAACTCTGGTCTATAAATATGACCTGTTTGGGTTACCATATAAGGTAAGTTTTCCTTTTAAGACAATGTATTGTACTAACAATAAACAGAACATTTAAAATTAATGAAAAATTTACAGTTTGGAATAATTTCTCAAGTGTTAACTATAAAGTGAAGAAAAATGGATCTAAGTTTATGGAGCCATTGCTTTCCGTGATCATTCTCAAATCATGCAAAAACAGAATTATATGATAGTACACACATTCTTCAAAGAGAAAACCAAGGAGGGAGGGACAAATATACTTCTATACATACTTCTAAAAGAATGAATTTTCCTGGAACCTTCAACTAAGGTCTTGAATGTAAAAAGAAAACAAAAGGAAAATGATCAACTGTTTCTGCAAATATAGCAATTCAGAACTAAATTTGCAAAATGAGAAGAAAGTAAATATGATATAATGAGCTAACAAACCAAGAATTAAAAGTTTTAAATCCAAATCTCTATTTTGTCATTGATGCTAGGGAGGCCTTTTCATGCCCCAATAGTTTCATTTCCTCATTGAATTATATTTTACTTTCAATAATTCTTACCTTTGGTTAAACTGAAAAAAAAAAAGTATATAACCTTTTACCCTGAGTAATAGTATAGGCTATTATCACACATAATCAGATATGAAATCTGATTACGGGGGAATTTATAGATGCTGATGATATACTTGGCCAATTAATCTTCAAGCTTTGGTTTTTGTCATAAAATTTGGGACAATTAAAAACTGATTCAACGTAACTTATGCATAACCAACAAATCATTTTGAAGTATAAAAGTAACTTAAAAATGTTAAATAATCTACTTAAGAAATTCACTTTTTAATAAAAAGCTGTAGAGGTAGAATTTTGTAGGCCTTTGTACAAATCCTTAGACTATGTAGATACAACTTAATTATTTTTTCTAGTTACATACCAACATATTCAGCAATAGACTCCAGGGAGCCTCTGGAACGTTCCGACTCTGCTACTGATTTCCAATTCTTGGCCGTTTCAGATCTAAAGTGAAAAAATTAATGAGCAGAAATAAACATATCACTATTAATATAATAACTGGTAACAAAAAGCAGACATTCTTAGACAACTACTTCTTTCTTCTCCACAGGAGGTATTTCAACCTTTGCCACCTTCATCAAGCCTACTTCCAGCCCTCATCACTCTTAGTAGATGATCTTGCCTCCTTTAATGAAAAAAAAGAGGCCATCTGGCATGAACCTTCTTCTTACCTTCAATCTTTCTACCCACAAATTTATCCACCTTCACAGCCATCCCAACCGCCTTTCTTCCCATCTGCAGGGAGGAAAAGGTGTCTCTCTCACCTGTGCAAAGCTACTTGTTCCACCTTCCCAACAGGGAGATAAAAAAGGAAAAGAAAAGAAAAGCTAATTGCCAAACCTCCTTCTGCCCCAGATCCCATACATTTGCACAGCCTCATGGATGGTACACTCCTCATTATCCATTCTTTTTCTAATAATCTTTAGCCTTCCATCTAAAGATTCCCCCCCTCAGCATATCAGTATGTCTCAAGCCTCAAATCACACGCTCTCTTTCCCCCTCAATTCCTCATTCCTCCACCCCATGCTACTGTCCTCTCTTATTCTTCACAGTTAACAGAAAAGGATACATTCACTGTCTTTATTTTCTTGACTCCGCTTCATTTGTTAAGTCACAGTATTTGGCTTCCACTTCCTATCTTATCACAATGCCCTTAAATGTTGCTATTTTATCATATTTAGTACATGGTTCCCATTTATTCTGAGTGCATACCTTCTCTGGGTGATGTTTATGGCTTCAACCACTAGTATATGTTGATCGTCTCCCTGTTTCTAACCCTGAAAACTTTCCTGGATAACTCTATTTAGAAAACTATACACATCTCAAAATTAACATTTAAAACCAAAGTCAGAAGCTTCCCACAAAAAACCACCCACTTTTCCATTTAGGTTAACGAAACCTTGACCCAATCTACTATCTAACAGAAACCTGTGAGTCATCCTAGTCTGACCTCCTTCCCCATCTAGCACTTTAACTAGTCAAATCCACTTCTTAAATATTCCTAAATTATATCTCCTACTTTCTATTCTTATTACTGCTGTTTATTTGAGACCTGGCTTAGACTACTTTTTTTCCTGCTTCTGAGCTTACTCTTTTCTATTTTTCCTCCATGTTTTGGTCGGGAAGATCTCTGCAAACACAAATTTGACTGGGTCACACTCTGGTTATACCCTTCAGCAGCTCGACTGAAAAAACTATAAAGCCATACAATAGTATATTATGTAGGCATTAAAATAAAATTTACAGTTTATTTATATAATGGAAAAATGTATATATAAAAAATACACACAAAATCAAAGCATAAACAATCCCAGAAGGAAATATATCTATTGTTGATATTTGCTATTTTGGGAAAGTTAGTATGACATAATTTAAACTTTTTTCTTTCTATTGCTTCCTAGACATAATAACAGTAATAGCAGCTAATCTACCATGCTTACTGTGTGCTAGGTCTTGTTCTAAGTTAAGTCTTTTAACCCTCATAACAAGTATAATAATCAGGTATTATTATTGTCCCTGTTTAATAGAGATATGAATCCCTGTTAAAAGACTGAAACACGGAGAGGTTGAATAACTTGCCCAAAGTTACAGAGCTAGCAGGAACTGAGCCAGGATTCATATTCAGGTAATGCTAAATTAATTGTATTGCTTTTATAGCAAAAAAAAAAAAAAAATACCTTCAAAGGCTCCACATCTTCTAAAAGGTAAAATAGAAACTACTAAGAATTAGTGAGTACAAGGTTTTCACAGTTTGGCTTTTATTTTTCCAGTCTCTTCTGCTACCTCCAGCAACACGCTAGTAGGGTCAGCTTCTATGACATACCAATCTCTTTTTTGCTTTTAGTCAATCATGAATGCCCTTCTTTCAGAAATGCTCCCTATTTCTCAGTTGTACTGATTTGCCTAACCCTTATTCACCGTTCAAAATTTAGTTTAAGTATTATAACCTGACTTTTCAATATACTATATTACATAGTCTAATGTTGCTACTTAGTATCTTCTGTATTTGCTTATTGGCTGCTGTTTGAATAGAACCATCATCTACTAAGCCATTCATTCACTCATTTCCAGACATAAAAATTGCTTCCAATGTTTTATGAATATAAAGACTGTTATGATAAACATATTTATGCGAATAGAGATTTTTGGTACTCCATATTTTCTCAAGCTAGATTTTTAGAAGTGGGATTACTGGGTCAAAGGTTACAGATTGTTTTTGACTTCTGAAACACTGCCAATTTGTTTTTCAAAAGGTGTACACCAACTTACGATGCTACTACTACCAATGTTAGAAAGTACTGTTTCCATTGCACCCACCAGCAGACTTCAGGATTAAAAATATATTTTTAAATCTGTACATTATAAATTTAATTTATATTTGTAATACATAACACTTTAGTGAAAACAAAAATATAAATTCACAGTTGTTTAAAAGATAACTTCTACTAAAAATATTTCCCTATTCTTTCTTCAAACAAGGCAGACTATAGATAAGTTATCAAGAATTTCTACCTGTGTAGTGGAAGGGGCTTGATCTTGGGTTTTTCAGAAGCTGAAGAGAATGTTTTAATCTGAGGCTTGGCTGTTGGTGATGTTTCCAAATCTCGGCTAAGCTCGGCTTCAGTTTTCTTAATGAATTTATCATATGACTAAGTTCAGAAAAATGAGAGGAGTCACTAGGCAGAATTTTTTAAAACCATTTTAAATTATAAAATATTTTATGGTGAAATACTCGAACAGTAAAGAAGCTATAATACAAAAATCTCCCTCCCTGCTTCCCAGTAAACAGTTACTTGTATATCCTTCTCTAAATAGTCTCTAGATAAGCAAGATGTACAATTGCAATCCTGATTATTAAGGAAGAAACGACGACCTTGATCTACA